CGCAAATTAATAATTCATACTATGAATTGTTAATTTGGAGCGAAGATCGTTGAACCGAGCCGGAGCAAATGGTTTGGTCAAGATGTCCGCCACTTGATCTTTGGAGGAGATGTGATGAATTTGTATATTGGTATTGCTGAGATGTTCCCGGATGAAATGGTAGTCAATTTCGATGTGCTTGGTTCTTGCGTGAAATACCGGATTCTTGGCAATGGCAATAGCAGATTGATTGTCACAGTATATAGGTGTTGGTTGCTGCTGCGGTAAGTGAAGTTCGGACGCTAGACGGCGGAGCCAGATGACGTCCGAAGTGGCTGCGGAGAGTGACCGATATTCAGCCTCGGTCGAAGACTTGGCGACGGTAATCTGTTTCTTGACAGACCAGGAGATGAGGTTAGGTCCGAGGAAGGTGCAGAACCCGGAGATGGACTTGCGGTCCGATTTGTCGGATGCCCAATCAGCATCGGTGTAGGTCCGAAGTTGTAGGTCGCCGGTTGTGATCGGAAGACCGTATGAGACGGTCCCTTTGATGTATCGGAGAAGCCGGGTGAGAGATAGATAGTCGCGATCGGTAGGATCCTTCATGTGCTGGCATGTACGGTTTGTGGCAAAGGCGATGTCTGGGCGAGTAATGGATAGATATTGAAGCGATCCTGCAATGCGGCGATAGAGTGTGGGGTCGTGGAATAGATGAGTTCCGTATGATGTTGGAGTTGAAGTGGACGAGAGCGGCGTCGGCACGGCTTTGCAATCAGCGAATCCGGCGTCATTCAGGATCTTTCGTGCGAAATGAGCTTGAGATAAGAAGTATCCTGCTTGTGTGTGATGCACTTGGATGCCCAGGAAAAGCGAGATCGGACCCATTTGTTTTAGAGCGAAGTTGCAGTTGAGATCATTTAGTAGGGTCTGGACGGCTGTTTGATCATTTCCTGTGACGAGTATGTCATCGACGTAAATTAGAAAATATATGTGAATGTGATTGTTAGTAAAAATGAGAAGGGAAGGGTCGGAGCGACTAAACCGGAATCCCTTTGTTTGTAAAAACGACGTGAGCTTTTGGAACCACTATCGAGGAGCCTGCTTGAGGCCGTATAAGGACTTGTGGAGTTTGCAAACAAGATCCGGAGACTTGAGGTCGGCGAATCCAGGAGGTTGGCTCATGTAGATGTCGTCGGGTAGGTCGCCATGGAGAAAGGCGTTTGAGACGTCTAATTGTTGTACAGGCCAATTCCGGTTGATAGCAATGGCTAGAAGTAAATGGATTGTGGGCATTTTTGCTACAGGGCTGAACGTTTCATTGTAATTTTCACCCTGCCGTTGGTCGTAGCCTAAGGCGACAAGTCTTGCTTTGTAACGTTCTATTTGACCGTTTGGGAGAGTTTTGGTTTTGAATGTCCACTTGCAGCCAAGAATGTTTTTATTCGGTGGTTTGGGGACGAGCGTCCAGGTCCGCTGTTTCTGAAGAGCGGTGAGTTCTTCTTTCATAGCCGAATGCCAGTGAGGGATTTTTATGGCCTGTCTGTAGGAAGTAGGGGTGTTAGTGGTTGCGGTGTTGCTGTGGAGCGAGTAGATGGGGTTGGGTTTTGAAATGCCGGATTTAGATCTTGTTTGCATCGGATGACTTGGACGGTCAGGTGGATTGGGAGGTCTGTTGGGGCTTAGATTATTAGAGGAGATATTTGCCGGAGCAAGTTGGTTGGTAGTGTGACTAGTGGGAGTGTGAGTTTGCTGACTTTGGACAGAGGTTGGAATTGGAGTATGAGTTGGAGGGGTGATGGTTGATGTGGGAATGAGAAGAGAGGGAGGAGTCCTTTGTGGGCCGAGAGGTGTAGTCAAAGTGTGAGGCTGATGTGAGGATTGAAATGGGAAGATGTGTTCGTGAAACACGACATGCCTGGAGATGTGAGTTTGATTGGTGGATAAGTTGTAACATCGGTATCCTTTGTGTTGGGTCGAGTAACCGAGGAAGACGCAATCGGTGGAGCGAGGATGGAGTTTGTTGTGGTTGTAGGGCTGAAGCCAAGGGTAGCAAAGGCTACCAAAAATTCGAAGATGATCATAAGCCGGTGGTTTTTGGTAAAGACGTTGAAATGGAGAAAGGGAGGCAGACGTTGTGGAGGGCAGCCGGTTGATAAGGTAAGTTGCAGTGGCAACGGTTTCTGGCC